TTTCCCATACTCTTCAATTTGTACCTCAAGAGAAAACCACACGCAAAGCTTACTGTACCAAGCCCGCCTAAATCTCCCAGTGGAGGTCCCAGTGGGAAGTTCACAGATGAGTTTACCGGGAAAGGCGCGGTCGGAAAGGTGTGCCAGGTTATCGGTGCCGTGGTTGATGTGAGGTTTGATGAAGGATTGCCTCCGATTTTAACGACATTGAAGGTCTTGGACAATCAGATCAGGCTTGTTTTGGAGGTAGCCCAACACTTGGGTGAGAGTGTGGTCAGGTGTATTGCTATGGACAGAGACGGACCCAGCACCTGGCCAGCCCCCGCGGCCGCCCGTGCTGGATCCGCCAGGAACTTCAGGTCGTGTCTCGCCGTCTGCCGACCGCCGGGAAGAAATGAGGAAGACACCAGACACGGCTGTTCCAGTGCTCCTGCCTAGAATGGGTGGCCATTGGGCATGAATTTTTTTTTTCCTGTTCTTATTGTTTGGGCCTTTTCAATGAATGGGCCAATCCATGGTTATTGGTCCACCGGATGAACGGGTAGAGACGGTCTTCTTCAGAATCTTCACGAAGCTCATTGAAAAAGAGGTATTTCTTATTAATTCATTTCTAGTTTACTGTTTCTTCACTTGATTATACTTACTGAAAGTCTAAGGTTTTTGAAATTCTGAATAATTTGTTGAATGTCGTATGAATTTAGACAAATATAAGGTGTTAAATGGTTTGATTGAAGCTGATGGGTGGTTGTTGGTTAAGAGTGGAGAAAGCTGCGAGTGGAGGATTGAGCTTGAGAAGAAGAAGTATGACGTGATGCGAGCTCAAACCAAGCTGGTTTTGAATGTTATGAGGGCGACAGATCACTGAGGTTGTTGACAGGTGCAGGGGGTAAGTTCTTGTTAATTGTTTGCTGGCCGGACAACTTGCCTGATCCCTGTTTCTGCTTCAAGTGTAGTTAATTATAAATTCCTAGCTTATCTTCCTAGTTTATAGTGAATCTTCTAATTTGGTGAATTCTGCAGCTTGCTCTGTATTATTAACTTCTTTGATATTGATCTTTATGAATAGCCTATTTATGCTTTATATTTCTAGTTATATTTTGATATTCCTATTTATCTGGTATTTTCTGCATTCTTGATCATCAAATGGAGTCTCAGTTGTTCACTACACGACTTTTTTAGAGATTCATTGTTAATTGCTAAGAGCGAGCTATACGTCTTCTGAGACTAGTAAATACAATGGAAAGGTGGAAGACAAATTTTGAAAGGCCTCCTTTAGTGTCAACAACTGAAGCTTTATTTGAGTTTGTTAAATGTAAGTATATTCAGGAAGGGTCTCATGATGTAAATGGTGCACTAAAGCTGTGTTTTCTACTATTAACTTCTTAGCTCTTGTTTGGTAAAAGTTTTTAGGAGTTGCAGCAACTTGCTTCAGAGGTTGATGAAGCACAAACATGGATGGGTGTTTAATGAGCCAGTGAATGCCAAGGCACTAGGATTGCATGATTACCATGATATCATTAAGCATCCTATGGATTTGGGTACAATTAAGAATAGACTGTCGCAAAATTGGTACAAGTCTCCGAGGGAATTTGCAGAGGATGTGAGATTTGTGTTTCGCAATGCAATGACATACAATCCAAGAGGGCAGGATGTCCACGTTATGGCTGAACAATTATCGGAGATTTTTGAAGAGCGTTGGGCAGTTATAGAGGCGGAGTATAATCATTATTGGAAGTACCGTATGTATCATGATGTGGGGTTGCCCACTCCCACTTCAAGAAAGGCTCCACCTCAGCCTCATTATTGGAAGTACCGTATGTATCATGATGTGAGGAAAGATTGGGTTGTTTGGTGGTGCTGGTGTAGGAAAGACTGTTCTTATCATGGAACTGATTAACAATGTTGCAAAAGCTCATGGTTAGTTTTTGATATTATGCATTATTTCTTATAGAATCCTACCTTGCTTAAAGCTCTGATTTGTGCTGTTTTTTGTTTTTCTTGTCAGGTGGTTTTTCCGTCTTTGCCTGTGTAGGAGAACGAACTCGAGAGGGTAATGATTTGTACAGAGAAATGATTGAGAGCGGTGTCATTAAGCTAGGTGATAAGCAGGTTAATATTTTTTTTTA